GCGGCGAATCGCCGATCCGCGGCGCGCTGAGCCCGACCTCGCGATCGGCCTGCGAGGCGGGATCGATCGGGCGGCAGGCGCCGATCGAACCCGACCGATCGATCGGATCGCAGGCCCAGGTCGCCTGAGGTCAAATGGGCTTCCCTCCTCCCCCTCCTCCTCCTCCTCCTCCTCCTCCTCCTCCTCCTCCTCCTCCTCCTCCTCCTCCTCCTCCTCGTCTTCCTCCTCCTCCTCCTCCTCCTCCTCCTGCTCCTCCTCCCCCTCCTCCTCCTCTCCTCCTCCTCCTCCTCCTCCTCCATTCCTTTTCAATGCAAGTGACTCTCCCTGTCGCACACCGAAGCAATTGTTTAGGGCGGGCCGGGCGTTTCGCCTGAGACTTCTTCACCATTTATGACTCTGAAGCAAATAAATGGCCACAGATTCACAGATGGAGGGCGGGTCGTTTTCAAAACGTGGCTCTCGCCTTAGCGCCGACCACATTCGTTTTAACCTTTTGCAAGAGGTTCACGGATTGAGGGTGGGTCTTTTTCAAAATGTGGTTTTCGCCTGAGCGCCGCGCGCATTCGTTTTCAAAATCAGCAAAAGTTTCACAGATCGAGGGCGCGTGGTTTCAACATGTGGCTCTCGCCTAGCGCCGCGTGCACTCGTTTTAAACATGGGCAAGAGTTTCACGGATTGAGGGCGGGTGGTTTCAACATGTGGCTCTCACTTTAGCGCCGCGCACATTCGCTTTAAACATTTGCAAAGAGCTTCGCCGATTGAAGGCGGGACGTTTTCAAAATGTGTCTCCCGCCGCGGCGCCGCGCACAGTCGTTTAAAAAACCGACAAGAACTTCACCGATTGAGGGCGCGTGGATGTCAACATGTGGCTCTCGCCTTAGCGCCGCGCACATTCGTATTACAAAAACTGCAAGAATTTCACGGATTCAAGCCGATTCGTTTTCAAAATGTGCCTCTCGCCTTGGCGCCGCGCACATTCGTTTTAAACATGGGCAAAAGCTTCACGGATGGAGGGCGGGTGGTTTTCAAAATGTGGCTCTCGCCTTGGCGCCGCGCACATTCGTTTTAAACATGTGCAAAGAGCTTCACGGATTGAGGGCGCGTGGTTTTCAACATGTGGCTCTCGCCTTAGCGCCGCGTACATTCGTTTTAAACATGGGCAATAATTTCACGGATTGATGGCGGGTGGTTTTCAAAATGTGGCTCTCGCTCTAGCGCAGCGCACACTCGCTTTAAAGATTTGCAAAAGTTGCACGGAAGGTGCACGGATTTGCGAAAGATTTGCAAAAGTTTGCAAAGTTGCAAAAGTTCGATTTCCACGATCAACGTTCCAGAAATCGTGTTTTGGAAGGATTCAGGATTTTGCTGGCGCAACAAGTATGTTGATTCGCGGTGTTGAAGTCCCATAGGCGTTCTGGCACGACTCCAAATCGTCAGGACGCAGCAGCCAGGTTGGTCCGTGGCGTGGACATCCCGGGAACAAAGTTCTGGCATGCCTCAAGGTCTTCAAACGGTAGTTTTCCAACGAATCGGCTCCCGCAATGGACATGAACCGTTGTAGGGACCTGTGAAGAGGCAGCTTGGAGGGAGGGCCCTTGCCGCGAAGGAGGGGGGGCGCTGCTCCCGTGGGGCTGGCTGCTCTTCCCGAGCTGACCCGTCGACGCTCCCGGGGCCAAGGAGGTGTGTGTGTAGGGATACGACCGAGGAGTCGATCCTGTACTAGGGTCCGTAGGTAGAGGCAAAGGAGGAAGAGGTTAGCTATTCCTTCTCCTGGGCGCTGCGCGGAGAGCAGCGCACTGTGTATATGAATGCCAATACCTGAGCCGATACAGCTGCGGAATGCGATAATAGAATGGGGATATGGGCGGACCACACACAGGAGGGGCCTCGGGAGCCTGAACTGGGGACAACACCGCAGGGCCCCGCTCCTTCAGGACCCGCCTGCCCTTCATGGCAACCCTAGAAGAAAAAAAACTTCTGGCGCGGATCTGCGCTGGGCCCCCCTCTCTGGAGCGTGGAGCGCGCCAGGGGCGCCGCCGGAGGCGCCGCCGGGGGAACCCAGCGCGGATCCAAGAAATTCGCGCGGAGCGCCGAGAGTGTATGTTTATGGCGTTTTCTCTTCTTCGAAATCCATCCTCTGGGGCCATCAGAAGTCCCCCCCGAACTGCCCAGGTGTTCGGTCTGATCAGGCTTCGAGCGGGAGTCCAGCCGCGGCGACGAGGAGCCTCTCCTGCAGGTCCAAGAATGGTCAGCGCTACTGGACAAGCCTGGACCCTCAAGCCTCGAACGAGCTGCAAGTTCTTCGATGGTGGGATAAACAAGCGCGGACCATCCAAAGAAGATTGCGACGACGGTTCCGAGCAGCCGATGCGCTGGCCAGGCGGGAACGAATGACGCAGGACGCTGCTGGGACCGTCCCGACGGTCATCCCATCCCGAGCGAAGAGCCAACCCCGTCGTCTCCGATTCCCCGACCCAGCGTGGTTGAAGGGGCCCTGGGACACACAAATAAATACACACAAATAAAAAATCCACCATATTTTCATATATTTTCTGGGTTTTGTCTTCCCGCCCAATTCCCATATTTTCCAATATTTTCTTGGGGATCGGGATCAGCGATTGATTGTGTCTGTGTGTTTTTTCCCTCCTGAGTGGTGGGGATCTCCTGGGGGCATCAAGGTACCGATTCTGCGGCTCCACGGGCCTCTCCGGGGGTGCGCTCCGACGCGAAAACCATGGAGCAGCCAGCCGAAGCGACGAGGGCTCGTCGGCACGAGCAGCCGCACTGGCAGACCCCGCCCCTCCCCGCACAACATCCGTCCCCCGCCGACGGCCAGGGCCTCGGCCGGCCGGAAAGGACGGCGCCGGCCGGAGCGGGCCGAGCGTCGGTCGTGGGACGGCGAGGCGCCGCCGCGCCGCCGCGCCGCCGCGCAGCCCATCGCGCCGGCCGCGCGGGCGGGCGGCACGCCTGGCAGCCCCGATGTCCCCCTGCTGGTCCGAGCTCTGGGGGGCCGGCCAGGGCTGGCACCTTGCAGGGTGTCTGCAGCGAGCCAGGCCCCCGGCGGCGCCAGCTGGACCCGCATAGCAGGAAGCAGGCAAAGATCGTCCCTCAGAACGGGCATCCCGACCAGCGGCGCAATTTGGCGAACGCGCCCAAGGAAGGCACCGATCAGGGCAGGGCTGTTCCGCAAACGCCCAGGGCCGTTGAGTAAACCCCGGCGATCGGGATGGGGGCGGTTTTCGTCCCCTGTCGGGGCGGGAGGGCTCGCGGAGGGTCACAGACTTCACTGCGCGAGGGCACCCCGTCGGCCTCCCTGAACACGGACGTTCCACCACGTTCGCGTCCTCGGGGGGGAAGAGGGTGGAGTCGGGGAGCAGCGGGAAAGGGGGAGCGGCACCTACGATGGCGTCGACGACAACGACGACGGTGGTGGCAAGCAATCTGGAGACCCTGAACTCCCAACAAAAGCTGTCAACCCCTGTAGGAGACCACTGCTTTGCTTCTGGCGCATTCCGCTGGTTTACCGCTAGCTTCCGCAAGGGCGCAACGGTCACGGGGTCCACCGTCCAACGTGGAGACCCTTAAATCCAAAAAAAAATCAAGTCCTACTGTTTTGACTCCGCAGCCTCCCGCTGGCTGGCGGGATCGCCCTCGCTTTGCTTTCGTTGCGTTCCGCCTACCTTCCGCCGAGGAAGAGGGGCCGGCCTCTCGGTGCTGTCGGGGGCTGCGACCGTGCGCCGAGTGGATAACAGCTCCTCCTCCTCCTCCTCCACCTCCTCCTCCTCCTCCTCCACCTCCTCCTCCTCCTCCTCCTCCTCCTCCTCCTCCTCCTCATCATCATCATCATCATCATCATCATCATCATCATCATCATCATCATCATCATCATCATCATCATCATCATCATCATCCCCTCCTCATCCTCATCTCGCCAGCTGCTCCTCCTCATCTCGCCTCCTCGACCGCCGAAAACAAGCCGAGCGCACTTTCCGCCCCCAGCGGCCCGCGGCCTGCTATCGGCGGAGTCCGGGCGGTGAGACAAGGCCAAGTGACGAATCCTCGGATCGGATTTCGGGTGTTCCTGAAGGCTCCCTTGGGATTCCAAGGAGGCCCCTGGGGCATCCAGAGCACCCCCCACGAGGCCCAGAGGGCCCCAGGGGCTCAAACATTGAGCGAAAAGCTGGGGGCACCTTGGGCCAGGGGCACCTTTAGCAACCCCCGAGGATTGCGACGGGACGCCGGTCAGAAGGACCCAGCTCACTGACTCGGGCCCAAGGGCCACCGCGCTGGTGCCAGCGGTCTGCGGCGAGGGGGCCTGTGACATGGCAGTCGCCAGCCCCTCTGGGCCAAGTCACCCGACCAAAACCCGACCCCCATCGCCACCCCCAGGAAGACGAAGCCAGGACGAGGATAGAATCAGACGAGGATGAATCGAAAATTTCTGAGATCCGGCGACTCTGGAGGATGTGTCGGGCGCCGGGGCCTTCTCAGAGCGTTCCGGGACGCTCTGAGAGCGGTTCTGGAACGCTCTGGAACAGATTTTCCCTCGTCCTAGCCCCGTCGGACCCATGCCGCTTCTAGGACGAGTTCGGGGACCCCACCCCGACATCACAGATCCACCTGGTCTTTGGAAGGGGCGCTGGGGCGAATCACCGACTAAACGCACCCAAACCTACAACGACGTGATCGACCCCGTTCCAAAGACCGGCTCTTCTCGGCGACCCATTTATTGCACGTCCCGCGACTCCTAAAACGGCCACTGGAGGACCAGATCGCAAAACAAAATAGACTGGCAGTCGTTTTCTCACAACGTGCGGTGGTCTGGGTCCTTCGAACGTGCCCCTGGCAATCACACAGCGAGGCCAGGCTAGGATCTCCAGCTGCACATGGGCTCGCGGATGGGAGCTTGACAGCAGGGATCTGGTGCAGGATGACACTCCTGCCCTCCTGAGACTCCTCCCCCTCCTCCTCCTCCTCCCTGGACCTCCGGAGCCTGCCCATCACTTCTCGCTGAGGGCGGCCAACACCTGCGCCCGGACGGACAACATCCCGGGGTGGTCGCAGTCATCTGTGACCTGGAGAACGGCACCGTCGTTGCGGTTGCTCTCGTAGTCGCGCGCGGAGAACACCTGCTGCCCGGCGGGATGTCGCAAGCCCGCCCGCCCACTGGGCAGAGGGGCGTGCAAGACTTCACTGCTGAAACTCCTTACAATGCTCTAGCCCTCCCTTGAGCAGGGACCGACCGTCCCGGCATTCCTGTAGTCCTACCTCGAAATGCTCCTAGAACCGACAAATCTTCGAAAAACAAAAGCAATGCTCTTAGAGAACGTAAACCCGATATGATAAAACAGGACAGGCCCCGCCAGAAGTGCTCTGAGAGCACCTCGTGGAAACCGCGAACCGTTCTTAGAACACTGCTTGGTAGGTTTATACAGGGCTAGGATCGGGATAAATCGCTCCAGAGCGTTCTGGAGCGCTCTCAGAGCGTTCCGGAACGCTCTGGAGCGGCCGCGGCGCCCAATACATCCTCCAAACCCGCCGATTCTCAGAGATTTCGAGTTATCCCGATCCGATTTTGTCCCGATCTTCGCGTCGTTTTAACGACGCCTCGCCACTGCTCGACTCCCGGAGCCCCCCCCCGGCGGCCTCCACCCTCCCGCCGCCCGGCCGCGGCACTCCGCGGCCCCCGTGGGCGCCCTCTCGCCATCGCTCGGACGCCCATTCCCTGTGTTTTTTTAGGTTCCGTGCGTGGTTATTTTCGCCAAACGATCGAGGGTGCTCCTCGATGGCCCTCGCCGAAGGAAAAGTGCACACGTCCGAGCGATGCCGAGCCCTTGGGGGCCGCTTCTTCGGGCCGCCCCTGGCTGCCGCTCTCGGGCAGCCCTCTGGGGCCATCCCCGGCACCCCGCTGCGGAGCAGGGCTGCGGGCTCACGAGAGCCAGCGCCCCTACAGTCATCGGCCTGACCTAAGGAACGAGAAATAAGGAACGAAGCCCTTTTTATCCCAAGGAATAACGCATAAGAAACGATAAATAATAAATAACGCATAAGGAACTGTAAACAACGCATGCGTACCTAAGGAACGACCGAGCCCCTCTTGAAAAGTACGTGTTCCTTATTCAAGCCGCTCACTGTACCAGTGATCCGTCGCTGATGACGACGGGCCGACGGCGAATCCACGAGCTAAACCGAGATCAGCCGCGCGGCACACCGGAGCCCCCTCTGCCATGGGACGGAGGAGAAATGGAGCACAGGATCGAAGCGCAGAGCACACTCTCATGACTTTCGGAGCGTGCTCACCCAGTCTTGGCGCCGACTGCGTCTCTTCCGACGAGAGCTGGAGTGGGCGGGCCGTGACTGCGCAGCGTCTCGAATAAGGACCCCATGGGCTTGTCAGGCCACGGCGAGCCTCGGCCGCGAATGGGTTCCCCGACCTGGGTAGCGAGAGCGCGCAGTGGGGGCACGACGTACATGAAGGGGCCCTGGGAAACACAAATAAATAGACACAAATATGCAGATTCCCCATATTTTCCTATATGTTCTGGGTTAGTGCCTTCCCCCCCCACTTCCCATATTTTCCCACATGTTCCTGGGAGTCGACGATTAATTGTGTCTGTGTGCTTTTTTCCCCCCCGGATGTCGTTGGGCGCCCACGTCAATAGAACTCCAGCGTCGCAAGGCCAGAATCGAGTAAGGATTGGCCGAACGGGGCAAGAACAAAAATGCATCATGCGGGACAAGGATACAGCGCATCCTTGGTGAAACAGTGCATCATTGCTACGAACTTTGAAAGCACTTCATACCCCTGCACCTGCCCCTGCTGACGGATCCGCGAAGGAAAGCGCATACACTGGGAAACTAAACAACTATAATCAAAGACAAATTGCGCACGGCCCGCGACCCTGGTACTGTTCCTATTTCCCCTGCTCCTCCTTATCATCCTGCTCCTGTTCACCGTTCCCGCTATTGTTCCTGCTCCGTTGTCATCACTCCTCCTATGGCTCCTGTTCATGCCGTGTCTTATCACTGCTCATCGTTATCCTCACTCCCCCTATTCCTCCTGCTGCTCCTCCGGCTCCTACTCCTAATCTTCCATCCTCCCCATCGGAGTGGGCTACACGGCTGTGCATGTCGAAACTAAGCATATTCCACATCTCCACTCTGCTCGTTGCTCTCGTCCCTCTCATCCTTCTTGTCCTCATCGTGCGTCTCCTCTCCTTCCCCTCCTCCCTCCAACCGCTCTCGCTCACTCTGTGTTCCTCCTTCCGCTACGTTCTCCATGTCTCTCCCTACATATATGTGTATATATATAGACACACACGTATGTATCTCTGCTTATCTGGCTCTCTCTCTCTCTCTCGCTCTCTCTCCCACTCTCTCTCTCTCTCTCTCTCCCTCCCCATCTCGCCCCCATCCCTCCCACAACCACTATTGAAATACCAGCTACTCCTACTTCTCCTGCTTAGACTACGACTACGGCTACAACTGTCACCTCAACGA